GTCGTGCAGGCAGTCAATGATAAGGTTCGGTTCGAGGCCCAGAAGGGTGCAGTGGAGGTCGAGGCGGCAGAAAAGGATCAGATTCCCGCCGAGGCCGCCCAGGCCGCCGCGCAGGCCGCGCAGCAGCGGGCGGAGGGCGAGGCGCGGGACGCGCGGCAGGCGCAGGCCGCGGCAGAGGCGGCGGCGGCAGAAGCGGCGGCGCGGGAGGAGGCCGCCGAGGCCGCGCCTGCGCAGGCGGCGGCGCATGCGGAGGAGGAGCGGGAGCAGCTGCAGGGGCAGGCCGAGGAGGAGCGGGAGCGGCTTGAGGGCGAGCTGGAGGAGGCTAGGCAGTACGGCAAGCAGGTGGAGGAGCGGCTGCAGGGAGAGGTGGAGGCGGCGCGGGCTGCCGAGGCGCAGGCTGCGGCCGGCCGGCGCGCCGCGGACCAGCGGGCGGCCGACCTGGAGGCTGCTGCTGCGGCTGCGGCGGCAGAGGCACAGGCGGAGGCGGAGGCTGTGGCCAGCGATGTGGCGGCGCAGCTGGAGGTGGCACGGGCCGACCGCGAGCAGCTTCGGCAGCAGGTGGAGGCGCTGGGGCGGGAGCTGCAGGAGGCCGCCTTTGATAAGGACCAGCTGGAGCGGGAGCTGGAGAATGCCGCGGACGAGCGGCGGCAGCTGCAGGAGGATGCCGACGCCGTGCAGGCGCGTGAGGCTGAGCTGGCGGCTGAGCTGGCGGCGGCACGGCAGGCGCGCGACACGGCAGAGGCCGAGCTGGCGGCCGCCAGGGAGCGGGCCGCCGAGGCGGAGCGATTGGCGGCGGCGGCGGAGGCCGCCGCCGACGCGGGGCGCCGCGCCGAGGAGGAGCTGGCTGAGCTGCAGCAGCAGCTGGAGGCAGCCAGGCAGGGCGCAGCCAAGGGGGCAGAGGAGGCGGCAGCGGCAGCAGCCACGGCAGCGGCAGCGCGGGCTCAGGTGGCCGGCTTGCAGGCGCGGCTGGAGACGGCCGAGGCGGCGGCCCGGGCTGGCGCCGAGGAG